TCCTATTTTGACTCTTTCAAAATTCAAGAGTCTATCCTAAATTGAGGTAAATTAAATGGCCTTCCAAATACCGTTTCGATTCCTAACATCACTGAAGAGACATTAATTGTCGAAATCAGGTTATGGTGTACAAAATTTTGCTTCTGATGTTTGCGGTATACCATCTTTTCCGCAAGTTTATTGTTTTCTGTTTGGTAATAAATTAATAATAAGATCTATTTTGTTACATCTTGTGATCCGTTTATTTAGCAATCGCCAATGGCAGTCAGCAGGGTTTAAGGACATCAGTTGTTCGATCTGTTAGTCAAATGCGTTTTGTTAAAATATACTTTTTCACTCATTTGGTCTTTTAGAAAATGTTGTTTGTGCTGTATTTAGACCCTTCTACCAAGAAATTTGTTTTGCATGCACACGTATAAAAATTGCGGTTTTTATCCAACGCAATCATAGGTTTGAAGGTTGTTTTCAATTTAGACTTGTTTATATATATATATATATATAAACAAGTCTAAATTGATATATAATTAAGTCTAAATTGAAAACAACGTTCAAACCTATGATTGCGTTGGATAAAAATCGCAATTTTTATACGTTTTCAATTGAGACTTGTTGATATATATATATATATATAAACAAGTCTAAATATTGAAAACAACGTTCAAACCTATGATTGCGTTGGATAAAAATCACAATATTTATACGTGTGCATACAAAACAAATTTCTTGTTAGAGGGGTCTAAATACAGCACAAACAACATTTTCCAAAAGACGAAAAAAGTGGAATTTTCGGTCCTCAATGCTCTTCAACTTTTTACTTGTTTGGCTTAATAGCGATTTTGATCTGAGCGTCACTGATGAGTCTTATGTAGACGAAACGCGCGTCCGGCGTATTAAATTATAACCCTGGTACCTTTGATAACTATAAACAAAACGCATTTGACTAACAGGTCGAACAGCAAGTGTTCTTAAAACCCTGCTGACTGCCATTGGCGATTGATTGCCAAATAAACGGATCACCGATGTAATAAATGGATCTTAATTATAAATTTAATACTAAACAGAAAACAATAAACTTACGGAAAAGATGATATACCGCAAACAAAAGGTATATATATAGCATTTAACGGGATCAAATATACAATGTACAGTACAGATAAAAAACCTTTTCATTCAATCCATATGGGACTTAAATGCCTTTCATTAAAGCTGAACTTCATTTTGTTATAAGAAAAAAACCAATAAAAAAATTTGGGACGATAGATGTGTCCAGTCAAGAACCTGTTATTTTAATATACTTGTTAATTGATGTCTATCATATTTTTTTAGTTTATTGGTTTTTGTTTTTTTTTAGGGGGGGTGTGTTTCAGTTTATCAAGTAGGGGTCTTTGAAAGCCTGCTACATTTAACATCTTATTGTCTTTTTTAATTGTTAAAATCCGTAGGTTGACATAGTTTATAATTTGAAATTTGTATCTAAGGGCATACGATACAATACTAGTTGTAGAGGCAAATAATAACTTATCCAAGTTTTACGCTTTGTTTCCGTGATGTTGCTAATAATATAACTCAAACTTCCGGGAAACACACAGATGTCATAAAATCAGATGTTTATATTTGAAAGCATTTTCAAAGGAAAGCAAAGATGTTGTTTATGATGTTTGTGAAAGCACACTGTTAGACTAAAAGCGTGATTTAAATAAACAACTTGTTTCTATTTTGTCACTAGAAAATAATTTATTTTAAAAATCCAAAGAGATCTTTTCTGTATTCTATGCCCTTAATCTTTAAATTAATGTATTGTTTATGCGAAAAATTTGAATTAAAATCTAAATAAGAAATGACAGTAATCTTGCTTCAAAAAAAATGTTTTCCTCCTGAATGGTTGTGGACATTCCAAAGAACCAGTGCTACTCCCAAAATGTAAACCTGCATATTGAACTAATCCTATGTGGCTTTTCTTATAGCTCCTGTTAAAAAATAAAAGATAATTACATTTTGTGTATGCATATAATTTTAAGCAACAGTTTATATTAACATGCTTGTAACTTAAGTCTTAAATAGTCCTTTAATATTCATTAAGGGAAATTCTAATTTACTGTATTGCAAATAAATCCTTGCATGTGTACGCTGATTTTACTATAAAATTAAATTCTCCATTATACCACGTATACAGCCAAAAAAAAAGTTTGTTTTTTTTAAATCAGTGTTGTTTTTATTAAATTTAATTAATTTTAAAAATGTTCTGCTAAGGCGGCCACAAATTATGGGCAGTGCCATGATTAAAAATCACTTCAGATTCCAACTAAATTAAGAGACTGTTCTATAGGAAAACTACAATATGATATTTGACTGAAACAACTCAGGCTGAACAGTCACAAAACCAACTTCACCATGAATTTGATGCCATTTACATGTAGGATGGACACATTGGTCCCTATTCTCATGCACTAGGTTCTGTGTCTATTTGTAATAGACTATTTTCATATATAACTGACTTTTGACTCGTGAGTGTATAATTTTTAGACAGGTTACTTACTCTGCTGAAGGACATTCTTGTACTTGGTTAAGTTAATGTAAGAGAAACTATTTGAAATAAAAACAAGCTTACAATCGGTGCAATTTGGGAGAAAAAAAAACTGGTTTATTCATTTTGTCATAGACATGATAGAAAACACAAAAGTTATTTATCTGGTGCTTAGTGTTAATGTTACCTTTTTTTGGTGCCTAGGAGTAGTCTATTGAGTCATGCCTTTTGGAACAGTTGTTGTTGTTTTATGTCCGTCATATTACGAAATGTAGTTTTTCATAATGTGTACTGTTATAAATTTATACAGCTAGTTTTTATTTTGTTACAATTGTGTTGGAGAACACATTTTGTTTGTCAAGGAGTTTTAAAAATGGACTATACGGTATGGGTTTTCTCATTGTTGAAGGCCGTACGGTGACCTATAATTTCTAATATCCAAGTCATTTGAATTCTGGTGGATAGCTGTCTCATTGACATTGGCAATCAAACGCAAGCCACATCTCCTTATTTTTATATCAATGGACACATTCATTATTGGTGTACGTAGATGCTAGAACAGTGGCGGATTTAGGGGGCCAAACTCCCTAATGGAGCTACATATAAGATAAATGCATAGACTATTTACAAGTATCACTCCAAACGCTGGCCTGCCATCCAGGGGCCCCTCTTTTTCAAAATCCTGGATCTGCACCTGTCGAAACAGATGTATTGGTTCCGATTATGATTGAAACAAAACAAGAATTAACAAGTTTCATCTTAGGAGTTTAATCATTCTTACCAAGTGAGTAACAAACAATTTTCTTCGCTCTCTTTGTTGATATTCTTTGTCTGTTTCAAATTTTAAATTTCAAATTGCATTTCCGCAAACTGGTTCCCGATATTCACATGTGATAAAACAAAACAGTCGACTTCTGCACCAATTCCGGAAAAGGTCGGATTTCCGTAATGCATAACGATACGAAAATGGAATAATAGAGGGCAGAATATTTCATCGACAGTTTTCATTTCTTAATTTCTAAAATATACACGAACGAATTGAATAAACATTAAAGAAAAGTAATTGTTTATAAATACATTATCTCTTAATTTAAAGTTGACTTTTTTAATTTTGATATTAGAAGAAATAAAATAGGCTGACTTCTTGATTAAAGTATTGATAAGATTTAGTGTTATTTAACTTATACTGGAAAAAAAACTAACTAGCTAATTCCATAAAACGTTGTCTGTGGGATTTTGAACAAAGTTTAAATAAAATGTTATTTTTATATCCGTAAAATGTTAAATAAAATATCAGTAACCATATTAAATAAAGTGTATGTCAAAATATTTTATAGAAAACATTTAGCCAATATCTTTCAGATTTTAAATGTAAAACATTTTAGTTTAACGTTATAAAACATTTTATGTAAAAAGCAAAACTATATTTTCTGCAAAACAGTTTTAGCAGAATGTTTTTGTGATGTTTGGAAAATGTTTACTTTAAATGTTTTAACAATATAAAATACCAATTGAAGAAAATTTTATTTTTTTATATTATAGAAATGTGTACGGGATATTTCAGAACAATGTTTGAGAACGTGAATTAAAGATATTAGCAAATAATATTTTTTGGATGTTGTAAAAACATTTTACTTACATGTTAGAATAAAAACATTTCAAAAACAATAAAATTAACATTTTTTTTGTTGTTCAAATGATATTATTTTCGGAAAGACGTCCATATGACATTTAAAAAATGTTTTTAAAATGTTATGTCTTTGCTGGGTACGCAATGTATACCACTACTAATTTTGACATTTTAATGTATATAACCAACATCAGTTACACGTGTTTAAGAAAGTCGTACATTGATAGTATTCTAATTATTCCAAATTTTGTGTTCATTTATACAAATGTTAATTATACTGATGTGGGATTAATGTATAATGGGATTTAATATAACATGTGTTTTTACATCTCAGATGTAAATGTATAAGAGATCGCAATACTATTAATAAAAATGGAGGTAGTTTTCAAACAGGAAAATAAGTTGGCGAAAAATAAAATTTAAAGTGGCAAAAAATATTGTTTTGGCGAAAAGGGTGTCGAAAAAGTAAATGAATCTTGACACTGTCTATGTTATAAAATGTAACTAAGTTAGACTTAAAGTATTTCAATTATTAATAGATCTTCTTTGAAGTATTTTACATATTAGTAAATTGACTCATCAAAATTATTTTTGGCATTTCAAATTTTAAAATATCACCAGTTATTATTAATAGTAACAATGTGTAATCGTATTTGGATTTTTACATTGAATAAGTTTAGTTACAGAACCTTTTATATAATATTTAAAGTCTGAAATGTGGTCTACTCATACAATGTAAATGTATTATATTCACTTTCACAAATAAGCATGAAAAAAGAAACAATGGATGAAAAATTGCAAAACTATAACAAGAAGTAAATAAATGTTTAAAAAAACAAGTACAAAAACATGGCAGAATTTATTGAAAGGTGAACGAATTTAGTTGACAATGCACCTTAAGATAGTTATTAAATATACAACAATTTTGACCTATTTGATATCAAAGAGCATAATAATAGATGAGAAATAAGTTTTCTAGCCATCTTATCACATGAGTAAAATACTTGTTTCATATGTCATATTTACAATTTGTCAAATGAAAAATATCTCTACATAACTTATTTTCTGGAACAAACAAGAAATGGTAGACATCTATATTTCTAAATTTACTGTTTATGAAAATTTGAATTATTCGAAACACATAAGGTTTTTCACCTTCTCCAGGCATAGATTGTCTGAGATCTTTTTGTCACAACCTTTCGGAATTTTCGATTTTATAGCTCTTCAACTTTCTATTTTATTTTTCCTTCCAACGGGTTTACTCCTGACTTACCAAATGAGAGACTTAGTATCTTAGTTTCTATATAAACTTAAATATATTATAAAAACGCCAAAAAAAAAAATAAACAAATTCTTTTTTTTTTTTGTGTGATAAAGACATATTGTTTTTCCTTCAGCATGACTGTTCAGTGTTTCTCATCTATTTAAATTTTTTGCAATCATAATAGAAATCTTCAGATCGCGTAGAAACCTCCTCTATTTTGTTTATGAAATTGTTGACCTCTTTATCATGTTTCGTATTATCAATGGCAAACACTCTGTCATGTAAATTGTTCAAAAATTCCTTACTTTCCCAAGGAAGTTGACTTTTATATGTATCAAAATTACTTTGGTTTTTCTCTAGGATATCTCGACCCGTAAAAACAGCTATCACATATTTGATCATTTCCTTTTGCCTCTTACAGAAATAATTAATCATCATCTCGTCTGCATAAGAGAAACCTAGTATTGAGAAAACGAATAAAAAAACGTTAGGCCCAGGAGTAACCAATTTAGCGCCTTTGCCAATTATCTTCATAATGCTTTCGACGTGCGAATCGTTTTGCATGTTAACAAATCCCGGTGTATCAACGATGGCCAGTGTTTTGTTGTTTACAGTCGTTTCTTCTCTCCGAATATCTCTTGTTACTCTTCCCCCACTTAATCCAGCTGGGAATTTAATTCCACGCAAAATAGCATTGCCTGTGGAACTTTTTCCACTTCTTCTTGTTCCGACGAGGACCATTCGAAGTACACCTCCTGAAATTTGTTTTACAAGAATTGTAAACGCAAGAACTTTTTCAAATAAAACTACTCTAAAATCAATGTTTAATATCGAATCTAGGAGTGGCGTAAAACAGACGTAGATACTTTAAATTTACAATACATGTTAGAGTACATGCGTTCTCATTAAATTACCTTTCCTCTTGTAATTGAGTAAAACTAGTTGACCTGTCTTCTTTTTACACAAGTAAACCTCATTAAATACTTAAAGGCAGTTTCAAAGAATGATTCAAACTTTGCTTCATAAAAACAATACCAAGATAGATACAAATATTTTGTTTTCGGATGGAAAACTCATTTTTTTAATAATAATGTCTATAAATCAAATTATATAAACAAATCTTTAAAACTGACTATATGAAGATCCCCATTTGTTTTTATTGACATCATATTTGTTACGTTGGATAACATGTTTTAACAAACATTTAAAGAAGAAAACACCAAATGTACTCTTTTTCATGCTGGTTAAATACTTTATTCATAAATGAAATAAAACTAGCATTATCCTTTAAATTCACGTTCCGCAATTAAGATGTTGTCCCCTCACTGAATAATTCAAAGTTTGGGGACTATGTGGAAAGCATCTATCCCATTACACTTAAAATAAAAGATACCATAAATACAGTTAAGTCTGCCTCATATATTCGATAGCATTTTATTTTGGACAATAAGGGTCGGTTAAGCACAAATTATACTTCCTCATTGTTCGCCTTACAATTATATGTATCGCCATGCTAGCAGTGCGTAATTTGGATTACATATCTGCGTTTCCTATCATGATGTTCCTGTTTGATAAATGCTGCTTACAAGGAATATATAGAATTAAGGGTTCCAAGAACACCGGGGTCATGGAAAAGGACAGATATGCTTCAAATGTCGTAACCATAATCCATTCCTCATTCCCTTGATTATGACAGAATTGCAAGAGATTTGTCAGCAAATTGAATTTTGATGAGCAACATGACGAACGCATTTTGTGCATCAGGATATGCTTACCTTCTGCGCATATTAAATAACCCTCGGTTTGGAGAGGGTTTGTGTTGCTTAGTCTTTTAGTTTTATATGCAGTGTTGTGTAGATTGCAGTTTGTATATTCCTCGTTTCTTGTGTGTATTTGATTGCGTTGTTGGTTTCTCTTCTAATTTTAAATGTTCCATTACAATTTGGTATCTACTGCCTAAGTTGTGTGTATGATGTAGTCGGTATCTTCAAATGATTGTGTGTCTGATATCTTTCAACCTTATCTACATTGGTATGCAAGTGGTAGATCCACAAAAAGCTCTTATAACAAAAACGAATTATATTTAATGTAATAAATAACAAGCTTCCTATTTGTGAACTTTACATTTCTATGTAGCAACATTCCAGCAGCGCCCGCATACGAAATATATATCTCCCAGTTGATACGATATTCCAGAGCTTGTTTTTGCTGTCATGATTTCCTTGATAGAGCGTTGCTGCTTACAAGGAAGATATTAAACCAAAAGTTCCAAGCGGTCAAGTTGAAATCATCCCTTCGTAAATTTTATGGACGAGTTGGTCGACCGTTATGGAATATACGTTTCACAGGTGATAGTGGATATGTTCAAAATGTCGTAACTACAATCCGTCCCATTTTCCCCAAATGTGACCTACCGATTAAGGCTAATTACCGGCTTTGTACTAACTCGAACAACATGAAGTGTGCCACATGTGGAGCAGGATCTGCTTACGCTTCTGCAGCACCTGCAATTATCCCCAGATTTTGGTGGGGTTCGTGATGTTCATTCTTTAGTTTTCTATGTTGTGTTTTGTGTAATTTTGTCTGTATGTCTTTTTCAGCAATGGTATTGTGAGTTTGTTTTCGACTTATTAGTTTGAATGTCCATTTGGTATCTTTTGCCTCTTTTTTACAAACAAATGGTGTAAAATGCATAGAATGATTGAAATCATTTATGACAGAAAGAAAGCAGAAAGTAAATGGTGTTAAGTATAATTTCAATCAGTTACTTGTAGAGCATCTCAATATTGTATTATTATTCATTTTTTATTCTTATATAACGTTAATGATATGAGAGTAAGTATTAGTTCTGATTATAAACTATCATTGTGTGCTAATGAAAGCACAATTTAATATTCGCATGTAGGAAAACCTGGTGGTAGTATCTGTGAAACTTGGAAAGGAACTTCGGTCTTGCAGTCAATGATTAATTGGTGTCATTTGGCAATACTCATTGTATTTTGTTTGTTTCAAAACGCAAACTTGCAAAACGTGACAATTTTCATGTCCGCTTCTATAACCAATCGCATTGTTTTAAACAAAGCATCACCAAGAATCGTAACAAATCTACCTAAAGGTATTCACATCATACAAATTATAGTGCAGATTATGACATAATGAATTTGTACTGTCAGATAAGATTGGTAAGTCATAAATGTCTGATCGGGACCTCTTTGTCAAAAAACTTATAAGGTAAAATTGCATATAAGCGAGTTCTAATTTGTTTTAAGTCCCAACAAATTGAAAAATTGCATATTCTAAAACTTCTTTTTTCAAACGCGAAGGGTACCCATCCCTGAATTGAAGGTTAAAAATGTTTTGTTTCTGAAATCACAACGTTGTTTTCCTTAAAAAAAAAAGTATAATAACATATATACATAAGTTTCATGTTTTATGTGCTCCATGCTTTGAATTGATTTGAATCGATAACTTGAAGAACACTGATTCGTCTTGTTTAAATTTAAGTACTAGAATTTTCAAAACATGCACTCCATTTGTGTGTTTTATTAATGGGATTAGATTTGAGAAATCGTTTCGAATTCTTATTGTTTAGATAATGCTTTCTTATCTTTAAATCATCCACTTTTATATTTCATCCCTGTGTATAATAGGCGAAAGTTCTGCTTTCATATCGTTAAATTTCATCTACACCCACAACCTTGTTGAAATACCAACTATATAGTAACTTTATAAACGATGTTTGACAGAAAGGATAAGGGTTTCCAACAAATGCAACGTGGTGTACAGTTTTACAGGCTTTTAACTCCAAAAGTGATTAATAAAGAACAATGGGTTAAAAAAAACATTTTGAGTTATTTAACAATGTTACCTTTTTGGTACTTTCTATTCCATTCTTTAGACTCTCTAAGCAGATCATCTACAAAAAAAAGAAACATAAACCAATTAAGGAAGTCTAGAATTAAAATATGAACAAGACCAAAATGTTAAATAAATAGCTTTTAAAATTTGATGTCTAATAGGTTAGTTTGATAGTTATTAACAATTTTAAAGAATTTGATCAGGAAACAGTCGTGTAAAAAAGGTAAAAAATTTGAAAAGCAATGGTTTGCGAACTATGAAGAGGTTTTTCCTTTTCTTATTGTGTAATATTCACCCAAAAAGAAATAAAGTGTATTGAATATGTTTAAAAAAAAACATAAACTCCCACAAACACAAGAACACATTATCTTGGACATGACCTTGACCTTTGGGCTTATGACCTCTATAAAGGTCATTAGAACACGATCTCATGGCAAAACACCCTATAGGTCTAGGACCTTTAAATTAGTTTAACATGTTTAAGAGTTATACTTAAAAAATGTATTTTAACAAACAACCGATTCGGATTATTCCCCTCAAGGAAAACTCTCCGGACGAAATATAATAAAGTTACAACTTAATGACACAAACATTTTCCACTTTTCAGGCGTCTCGTAATGGTTTCTGAGATTATCCCATAACAAGTTATATGATCAAAGGTCAAAATTGACAATAAAACTTGTACCTTGATTCATTTGCAAGTCATTCTTAAAATGTATGGTTTATATGTACTTTTTATCGAAATAAACAGATAATTTGTAACTTCCAGTTTACAAAAAGTCCTAGTCCCTTCTGGATTCAGATAATAAGTTACTTCACACTCGTTCCAAAAATATCAATTCTAAGTACTTTTACATGAATTTAAACTTGTAATATGGCTACATCCGGTAAACGCAAGGTTATTTCCAGTTGATCTTTTTCAAGGTCATATGTGTAACATATGGAAAAGACACTTTGGTTTTATCATGGACCAGTTAGAATTTGTGGCAAAGTTAATAATCTAGAACGTCAAATTTACCGCTGATCTTGACCGCAAAGGCCATGAATCTTCAATACAAAACAGGTCTTTTTTGTATGTTTTTTTAGTTATATCATCTTAGAGTTTATTCTAAACTTACAGGATAGAAAATTCCTATAAGTTGTCGCCGTACCATGTTCACCTTAATATATTGCAGACAAGACATGTCGTAACCAAATCGAAATACAATTTTTCGATATCTTTTACGAGTTGCATTAGTAGCGAAAACAATCAAATATTAAACTGTCGAACAGGACCTTACAGTAAGATCAATTCCTTCTATAAAAGGAAAGACCTTTATAATAATAACAATAATAATGTATAATCAATTGTTTACAAAATTTCACTTTAGGTTTCAAATGATACGTTTCTTCACTCTGCTTAAAAGAGATATAATGTTAGGGTCTTTAATAGGAAATTTACTCAAGAAATCGCTACTTCCGATTCACCAAAAATAACTTCCAGTTGGACTATTTTGGAAATAATTCTCTCATGCCATGCTCTATGCTCATTTTAACATGGGTAGGCATAATATTTGTCAATATCTTTAAAATGTTGACAAATATAATGCATACTCATGTCAAAATGAGCATCAGATTTCTTTTAAACTGAGTTTTACTGTGCGTATTGATGTGTGTTTCTTTCTTCTACATTGGCTAGAGGTATAGGGGGAAGGTTGAGATCTCACAAAACATGTTTAACCCCGCCGCATGTTTGCGCCTGTCCCAAGTTAGGAGCCTCTGGCCTTTGTTAGTCTTGTATGTTTTTTTAATTTAAGTTTATTTATATGTTTTGGAGTTTAGTATGACGTCCATTTTCACTGAACTAGTACATATTTATTTAGGGGACAGCTGAGGCCCACCTCCAGGTGCGGGATTTTCTCGCTGCGTTGAAGACCCATTGGTGGCCTTCGGCTGTTATCTGCTTTTTGGTCGGGTTGTTGTCTCTTTGACATATTCCCTATTTCCATTCTCAATTTTATAGAGCAGGACATGATAGAATTATTTCGATTCTAATAGAAAAAATTAGAACTTTTGTACTTCGAAGCGGATCTATAATACACGTTCAAAAGGTATCCATTTTGATTTGATGAAGCCAAAACGTTATAGAAAATAAACCGTTTCACGATAAAACAAGTGAACAAATACATGTAAACTTGCTTTTAGAATCATTTTATTGAATTTCATAGCAAACAACACCAAAACAAATGTCCATTTTGATTCCCGGCGTTGTTCAAAACACAGCTGACGGTTGCAATTTCAATTGTGACGTCAATCACGTGCAGACCATGTTTTATTGGAATTAGAACATGGCTTTGTTTCCAAAGCGATAGAAGAACGTCATATTAGAATCAAGGTTATATTGCTGCTCCCTATTGCAAAAGACCTTTTGACTCTTTATTGTACCAATATGATGATAAAGCAAAGGTGCATTTTTGCGCCTGTCCCAAGATAGGAGCCTCTGGCCTTTGTTTGTCTTGTATGTTTTTTTTAATTTTAGTTTATTTATATGTTTTGGAGTTAAGTATGACGTCCATTTTCACTGAACTAGTACATATTTATTTGGGGGCCAGCTGAGGCCCACCTCCGGGTGCGGGATTTTCTCGCTGCGTTGAAGACCATTTGGTGGCCTTCGGCTGTTATCTGCTTTTTGGTCGGGTTGTTGTCTCTTTGACATATTCCCCATTTCCATTCTCAATTTTATAGAGCAGGGCATGATAGAATTATTTCGATTCTAATAGAAAAAATTAGAACTTTTGTACTTCGAAGCGGATCTATAATACACGTTCAAAAGGTATCCATTTTGATTTGATGAAGCCAAAACGTTATAGAAAATAAACCGTTTCACGATAAAACAAGTGAACAAATACATGTAAACTTGCTTTTAGAATCATTTTATTTAATTTCATAGAGAACAACACCAAAACAAATGTCCATTTTGATTCCCGACGTTGTTCAAAACACAGCTGACAGTTGCAATTTCAATTGTGACGTCAATCACGTGCAGACCATGTTTTATTGGAATTAGAACATGGCTTTGTTTCCAAAGCGATAGAAGAACGTCATATTAGAATCAAGGTTATATTGCTGCTCCCTATTGCAAAAGACCTTTTGACTCTATAATGTACCAATATGATGATAAAGCAAAGGTGCATTTTTGCGCCTGTCCCAAGTTAGGAGCCTCTGGCCTTTGTTAGTCTTGTATGTTTTTTTAATTTTAGTTTATTTATATGTTTTGGAGTTTAGTATGACGTCCATTTTCACTGAACTAGTACATATTTATTTAGGGGACAGCTGAGGCCCACCTCCGGGTGCGGGTTTATGTCGCTGCGTTGAAGACCCATTGGTGGCCTTCGGCTGTTATCTGCTTTTTGGTCGGGTTGTTGTCTCTTTGACATATTCCCCATTTCCATTCTCAATTTTATAGAGCAGGGCATGATAGAATTATTTCGATTCTAATAAAAAAAATTAGAACTTTTGAAATTCGAAGCGGATCTATAATACACGTTCAAAAGGCATCCATTTTGATTTGATGAAGCCAAATCGTTATAGAAAATAAACCGTTTCACGATAAAACAAGTGAACAAATACATGTAAACTTGCTTTTAGAATCATTTTATTTAATTTCATAGCGAACAACACCAAAACAAATGTCCATTTTGATTCCCGACGTTGTTCAAAACACAGCTGACGGTTGCAATTTCAATTGTGACGTCAATCATGTGCAGACCATATTTTATTGGAATTAGAACATGGCTTTGTTTCCAAAGCGATAGAAGAACGTCATATTAGAATCAAGGTTATATTGCTGCACCCTATTGCAAAAGACCTTTTGACTCTATTATGTACCAATATGATGATAAAGCAAAGGTCAAAATCTAGAACGTCAAATTGAATATCACCTTGAGCTGAATTAAATGTCATTAAGCAAAGACCTTAAATCAATAATCTCTCGTTATTATGGTTAATGATTTATATCACCATACTGCTAATTCTACATATAAGAGGGGAGAAAACTCTCATGTATGTCAACGTTCGCTTTCAACCAAAATGTATGTGATATGACAAGTCACATCTAACATTGTTGTAAAAATAGTTTATCCATATCTTATACAGTTTCTAAGAAGACATAGCCAGAAATTAGTAGTACTTTTGCTAATTAATATTCATAATATGTAAATGAGAATTGTACAACGTGATAATAGTTTGAACTGGACTGGCTTGATATCCTTAAAATCTTTAAAACACGGATATTATAAGTTGCCCATCACAGAGTCCTTGTTTATAATCACTCTGATATTTGCTGCCAGATATTTCCGTAAAGTTTTCAGGCGGTCAAAATCAAAACAATGAACGCGAATTTAGTGAATTTTTCGTGTTTTCGTGAGTTTATTCTTCTTGAAATAGGGGCATTTTAACTTTACGTGGGAACCTAGAGTTCAACGACTACACATACAAGGTTTGGACTTGCTTATTTTTTGGACATTCAAGTTGCAAGTTTCATCCCCGCAACCTGTTTTTGTAATGACCTTGTTAGCCAATTTTCAACACGAAGTTTGCAAATTTGACGTTTCAGCCATTTTAGCCTTTATTTTATACTGCAATGTTAAGGGCATACGATACAGTTTTGATCCCATATTGAAATTTTGATGAAAATATGCATATAGGCTATTTTTTACCTGATTAAATCAAATATGTAATAAAAAATATACCATCATGTGCTACTTTTTGAGTAAATTGAGGTTGAAATTTCAGATATTTCCTCAAAATTAGGATTTGTGGACGTATTTTTCCTTTCGACAGAAATACATAACTTTTTTGTTTTAAAAGATAAACACAAGCTGTTTTTTGTTAAATTATTTGTAATTTCTTTTTTATATAAATGTTCTATAAATTTGTACATTTTATTTTTACAATTAACTCATATTTATCAAATGTTCATGAATGTAGAAAAATAACGTCATTTTTTGCTGTATATTTATCAAATTTAAAAAAATTGCACTATTGACTTATTCATGAAAATTGGTATACATAATCTTC